GAGGAAAACGTCACATGCTATTTTTCCAAATACGAAGTTACTTCATTTTCCTCCTGTGCAGCTGAAGCCATGTATACCATATGTGTAACAAATAAGCCGAGCTACAATCCATTTCCTTTTTATAATGCATCACAATAGCCCGTTCTTATTGATTAAATGTTTGAATTTTTGCTGATTAGTATTAAAATATTAAGTATTAAGTAAACGAAAGAGGGCACTTTGAGAAATCTTGTATTCTGAGCCAGATTTGACCACGCGTCAATCCATCTCAAACAGTTTCCATTTCCTACGAAAACATATACTCATTTCCATTGATATTCCAGACGTGGATGTCTTGCACATGGCCGATTTAGTGTTAATAGTAAAGAACTTTTGCTTAACGTAATTGCTCATAAAAGCTTCAGTTCAAGTTAGTTAGTTGCTACTTAAGTTATTTAACTTACATATTTATTCATATCGCTTCTTTCCTTTTTATGGCAAGATCTAATGTTTTCTAAGGCGTTCAAGTTTTGCTAAGCGCAGAGTGAAGCTGCGAAATAACGGGGGAAATCTACTGAATAATCATTCACTGATAGTATGACGGTAATGGTATAAAGCTCAGGATGTTATGAATGCATGAAACGATTGCGATATGGCTTAAACGAGCCAGCCGTCAAATTCCAGAGTATTCGTGATGGTTTCAACCTTAGGTGAGGGATTGAACGTTTGAACGTAAAGTTTGCAATTTACTGTTGCTTAACCTCGTCGTTTGCCGAGTATCAACTTTTAGATGATTCACTTAGCAATTCGGTCATTGATTGAAGTTGATGACTCCAGAATCTTTGAAAAAGTTTGTTGTGCGTGTTGTCATTATCATGTGTAGCAGCCTTGCAAACTTGTAAGTTACTTAAGAATTGCTAAGTTCTCTCACATCAACACTTAACATTTAATATTAGGAGCCGTTTGCTGAATCGATGAAGGAAAGATTCATCAACGACAACAGTTCTCCGTTTAGTTTCCTATACTAAGAGGTATGCTGGAGACTGAGCTTCTGCTGGCCGTCTCGGCTTCCAACGCCGCAGTTGTCGAGTCAGCGATGTTTGGTCGCTTGCCTGCAGGTAGTCGAACCATGCCAGCTCTCGGCCTCTGGGCAGTCCCGGTCTCAGATCAACTAGTGCAAGAATATGATCGTTCCTCACACGATTGTACCAATGGATCTTCATTATGCTCCTCAACCGACATTGTTAAACGCTAACCAACAGAAGTTCCCTTCACTTCATTAACTGTTTCCTGCCCTTTAAACAAAACTGGCCTGACAGCAGGGTGGAATCGAACCCCCTACTTCGAAACAGACCCCTTAGACAACTGCGTCAATACGTCACAAGATGATGTCATCGGCGTAGTCTGAGTCGGTTAAGCATCTCGCCGGATACCTTGATCTTTGTCTTTGTTCCAGCAGGAAGCTATCCACGTCGTGCCGCTCAGCGTCATTTCGTAAAATGTGATTTACCACTATAGTAAAAAACAAAAAGGGAGAGAACATTGTCCGTTTGAATCTATTTTCGAGCACTAACCAGTCCGAAATCCGCCTTTCGGCTTTCACAGCGCTGATCTTCTCATTGCACAACCAATCCATAATGGCAACGACTAATTCCGAAACACTAATGCTACGCGTGATTCTCAATATTGTTTCATAGTGAATGGAACCAAATGCGACGCTAAAATCTGTGAAGGTGGCGTACCATGTATTACTGAAATTGGCGGCATTGCTCGATGGTTCGGCTCAGCGAATTGTTTGGTCAGTGAATCTTGTTTGAAAGCCTGTTTGACCGTCGATATATTTGTTGCATATGTGGTCGGTTCTCTAAGCTCCGCTCAATCATTTGACGTTTCGTTGATTTTTGGGTTTTCTGCTCTAGTTTAGTGGGGACTCTTAAATTTCTTTGTGTTCCACTTTGATTTAAAACCCCATTCACTTTAGTCATTTACCCAATTCTTCGGTAAGAGACTCATCTGTTCAGGGTTCAGCATTGCCTAGGACTGATCTTCTGTCAGTTCGACGAATTAAACACCACATTCATGATAGTTGACAACATGCTCTGATACCCCTTAAGGACAAACGTGAATTGAGGTGGTTTTGAGTACTATTTGCCAGATTATCTGGAACATAATCAGTGAAAATACCACACTTTCTGCATCATTTTTCAAGAAGACAAACATTTTAATGGTCCAAGAAATCTGGTAATTAAAGACGAGCTTCTCTCATTCTGCTGCTTCTTGCGGCAAAATAAATCAGTACTCCTTAGTACAAAGTGTCGGTACTGCGGCACCTCAGTATCCACCAACGACATGCGCTGCCTGACATACAGTGAATAGCATATGAGATATATGTAAACAATTTATGTACATGTTAATATATGTATAAGTATAGTCAATAGTACCATCTGACATGTGAGTATTGTCACTATAATTCAAAGGGCTCATTTATTGACTGTCGCACAGAGCACAGGATAATAGGATAGTCTGGCGGAAATTTGCGACAGTGTGCGTAA